TTTCTTTTACCTAAACTTACTACTAATTTAATTTCAGTTGGACAACTTGTTGAGGATGGTAACAATGTATCCTTTTCTCATAATGGACATCTTATTTAGGATCAACGCACTGGGACAGTGAAGGAGAAGGGGCGTAGACTTGGACGACTGTTCACCTTAGAGTTCGAGAAGATACTTGCATCACCTAACTCATCTTGCCTACTCTATACTACACCTAGCTCAAAACTTATTTGTAGAAACAATGAGTGGCATTTATGGCATTGATGTCATGGCCATCCTTTTGCTAATAAACTTGAATTTTTGTTTTTATTCTAGATGTTTGTCTTCTAAAGCTACTTCTTCTAATGTTAACAGATCATGTATTTCTTGTGGTTTGAGTAAGTCATATTTTGTCGTTTCCTACTTCTATTGCACATTATGACATTTTCAAGTTGATTCATAGTGATGTATGGTTGTCTCTTGTAACTTCACATTTGGGTTATAAATATTTTGTGATTTTTGTTGATGATTGTACCTACTATATTTGGGTATACTTCCTTAGACAGAAATCAGAAGTTTTGTCTATATTTAAACTTTTTCTGACTATGGTGAAGAACCAATTTGACACAATTGTGGGAATATTCTGTTCAGATTCAGGGGGGAATATATGATGGAGACTTCCAATTCTTTCTAAGAAAATAGGATATACATCCACAAAAGTCTTGCCTTGGCACTCCACAACAGAATGGAGTTGTAGAATGCAAGAACATTCATATATTGAGTGTTGTGAGGACCTTGTTGCAAGACTCCCATGCTCCCACTTCCTTTTGAGCGGAGGCAGCCGACACATGCACAGACTAAGGGCTTGTTCGTTTGCTCTGAAGTCTGACATCTGAAAGTGTAATAATTACATTAAGAGGTATATTGGTATTGGTAAACTTTTCTTTCCTCTGAACTCTGAATGCAGAGAATGTTGTTCTTAATTTTGAACTCTAAATTCTGAAAACTATCAAATATCCATTTTTGACTCCATATATGAGAGTTTTTGTTTGTCTTTTTGGGGGTATCATTGGAAAACAAAAAGTTGTATGCTTGCACTTTAAGAGATAAGAGATAAGAGGAAACAAACAACCAATTTTCTCTTAAAGTTAAAAGATTCCTCTTAAGAGATAAGAGTTAAGAGGAAACGAACAGGCCCTAAGCTCACTCCTCAATTTGCCATGTGTGCCTTTATGGGATACAACTCCAACCACAAAGGATTTCTTTGCAATGATCCTCAAGCTCGTCAAGTCAAGATATATAGAAATGTTGAATTTCTTAAAAATATCTCCTTTTTTAGTCATTTTGCAAAGCGTCCTGCTCCTTTCTTGGTTTTGTGCTCCTTTGATATTGTAGGTTCTTTGGACTCCTAATCAAGTCTTGTTCCATCTCTCATTCAGTATGTCAAAAGGTGTTATCTCCTCAAGAACCTACAGACCCAACTCCAACACTACTAGTTCAAGATCCCTCCTTTGACACTGTAAGTTCTCTTTGTACCTCTTCTTTTGATGCCTTACCCTCTTCTCCACTACCATTATGTTGTTCCACTCGTGTTTATAAGCCTCCTAACAGCTAGGGTTTCTCTCCACCCCATAGCTCATTTTCTACTATTTTGTCATCGACAAAGATTACTAAGACTTACCAGCAAGCTATGGCTGTTCCACATTGGAAAGAAGCTATGAATGTTGAAATTCAGGTTCAGGACCTCTTAGAAAATGATACTTGGGATTTGATTCTTGCTCCTCCTGATGCTTCTATTATTGGCACCAGATGGGTCTACTCTGCAAAATTGAATTCTAATGGCAGCCTTGATAGGTACAAGGCCCGTTTGGTGGCACAAGGATATAGATAGGAGTATGACATTGATATAGAGGAGTCATTTGCTCTTGTTGCCAAGTGACCATAGTTCACATTTGTGCTTGCCATCTTAGTTGTCAAACAATGGGACATCCATCAAATGGATGTCAAGAATGCTTTTCTACATAGACATTTGGAGGAGACAGTGTTTATGAAACCCCTCCAGGATATTGTGATGATCCTACCATGGTCTGTCGATTGAAGAGATCTCCATATGGACTCAAACAAGCTCACAAAGCTTGGTTTGAGAGATTCCATTCCGTTATAACAGATGCTGACTTTATTCAAAGTCCTTAAGATTATTTACTCTTTATCCTCGCTCAGCAATAGGGTATTACTCTTTGCTTTTCTACGTGGATGACATTCTTATTATTGGAGATGATCTTCAGGGTATAACTCATGTGAAGGGTCTCCTTAATAAGACCTTGAAGATGAACGATCTTGGTTTTCTTACATATTTCTTAGGCTTGGAGGTAACTCCTTTTTGGGGTTATTTTGTCAACCAGCAGAAGTATGCTACAAATTTAGTCACATTGGTTCATCTTACAAATGATAAGCAGGTTGACACACCACTTAAGATCAATTTGAAGCTTTCTAAAGATGATGGTGAACCTTTTACAGATGCTACATTATATCGGTAGCTTATGGGTAGTCTTATTTATCTTACTCGTCCTGATATCTCCTATGTTGTCCAAGTGGTTAGATAGTTTCTCCTTTCTCCTCAACAACCACATATGTCCATTTTCCTTCTGATTATTAAATAGCTTCGTGGTACTTTGTCTCATGGACTATTTTTCTCATCGTCATCTTCTTTGGACTTATCTACTTATGCTAATGTTGACTAGGCAAGGTGCCCAGACACTCAAAGGTCTACACCAAGATGGTATGTTTTCTTGGGTGATTCTCTTGTTTCATAGAAGTGCAAGAAGCAACAAACAATATCTAATTCTCTACTGAAGCAGAGTATCACACTATGTCATCTATTTGTAGTGAGATTGCATGGTTAAAAGCTCTTCTTCAGGACCTACGTATTCCAACCTCTCATCTGGTTCTTATCCATGCTGATAATGTTAGTTCAATCAAGATTGCCTTAAATCCTGTGTTCCATGAATGTACAAAGCACATTGAGGTTGATTGCCATTTTATTCAAGATCAGTTTCTTGTAGGCCAAATTTCTCTTCCTCATATCTGTTCTGGACTTCAGCATAAAAACATCTTCACCAAAGCTAATAACTTGTCCTCAACACAAATTTCTAGCTGACAAACCAACGCTTCCTTCTTGGCATTAGTTTGAAGGGGGTGTAAAGAGAAGGGCTGATCTCTTGCTTTTCTTATTTGGGAGTATCTTTTTATTGTCTATCCTATGTACCATACCCCTGTATATTTCTCTTGTTAGTTCTTATATTCTTTCTTGAACTAGAGAAGGGCACAATGGTCCTTTATCACCGATTGTATTTCATTAGTATATAAAATATCTTGTTTGGGCATGTGATACACAAGA